GTTTATCCTGATTCCGTTCCGGTAGACACTTTCTCTGGTTCAGTTAAATCGCTCCAAACATTTATTTTGATTTCTTTTCCAGTTAAAGATTATTCAAGACCTCTGCTGGTTCAGTTTAAATTGATCAATGGTTTATCCTGATTCCGTTCCGGTAGACACTTTCTCTGGTTCAGTTAAATCGCTCCAAAGATTTATTCTGATTCTTTCCAGTTAAAGATTATTCAAGACCTCTACTGGTTCAGTTTAAATCGATCAATGGTTTATCCTAATTTCGTTCTGGTAGACACTTTCTCTGGTTCAGTTAAATCACTCCAAAGATTAATTCTGATTCTTTTTCAGTTAAAGATTATTCAAGACCTTTATTGGTTCAGTTTAAATCGATCAATGGTTTATCTTGATTCTGTTCTGGTAGACACTTTCTCTGGTTCAGTTAAATCGCTCCAAAGATTTATTCTGATTTCTTTTCCAGTTAAAGATTATTCAAGACCTCTGCTGGTTCAGTTTAAATTGATCAATGGTTTATCCTGATTCCGTTCTGGTAGACACTTTCTCTGGTTCAGTTAAATCACTCCAAAGATTTATTCTGATTCTTTTCCAATAAAATATTATTCAAGACCTCTGCTTGGTTCAGTTTAAATCCACCAAAGATTTATTCTGATTCTTTTCCAGTTGAAGTCAAGCTTAGACTTAGTCTAATTTTTGTCAATAATCACTTTTGAGTGGCATCTATAAGCCCATCTCCGACAACTCTCCATCACCTCTCCAAATGGCATCATTAAGCCCATCCCCTACACAATCAACCACCACATTATCAAGTGCAAATTTCTGGGCACTCTAGTGTCCAATCATCTTCTACCTTCAAGTCACGAATGACGGAATCACCAATCTAACTCTTCAGGTTTAAGAAGATTGAACAGGGGAAGCTGTTGTACCCCAAAATTTTCCCTCTCATTTCTCAAGATTTTTCTCAAAATTTCTACTAGTTCAAGATTGCACAAGTACAATTGGATTTTTAACGCCCCACATAATTTCCATGGATCATATTGGATTTCCAAGCACCAGGTCAAAGAGGAAACTATTGAAAGAGGAAAGCAGATAAATTTGTTTTTGTTGACAAAATTGAAGAAAAGCAAGTTTGCTTCGATTCATACTAGCTTCGACTGAACATTGCTTCAGTTTATGCTCAACTTTGACTGAATTCCCCCCTGCAAGCTAGCTTCGACTGGGCATTTGTTTCCCTTGAAAAAACTTCCTTTGATTTATAAGGCAAGGGCCTCTTGTTGGTGTCCTTCGATTCAGAAGTTAGTGGCTCCATACCAGCTTCTTTCGATTCAGAAGGAAAGGGCCTTCAGAAAGCCTCCTTCGATTCAGAAGTTAGTGGCTTCATGCTGATCCCTTTCAATTCAGAGGGAAATGGCCTTTTGAAAGTATCCTTCGATTCACAAGGCAATGGCCTCCTGCAACTTTCCTTTGATTCAGAAGCCATTGGCCCCTTGCATGATTCCTTCGATTCACAAAGCCAGGACTTTCTTCAGGCCATCAGGCACAAGGCAATGGCCTCCTTCAGCTTTCCTTCGACTCAGAAGCCAATGGTCTTGCATGTTTTCCAAATTCACAAGGCAGAAATTTCCCTTCATGCTAGCGCCCATAAAGTAAGGTACCTCCTGCATATAAGCTTTGATCCCCTCTTGAAAACATTCAACACGTATAGTCTCTACACTAGGACGTATCTAGGTGTCCCCTTCAAAATATACATAAGGGGCCCATTCGAAGGACACTTTGATTGGAAACAAATATTGCTGTCTGAAGAAGAGTTAGCCATATGTTGAAAATCTCACTGCCTATATGGTTGAAAATCTAAAGAGGAGTTACCTATAACTTGAAAATCTCAACTCTGACTAGTTAGCCTTTGGATTTTGGTGCCCAAATAAACTTGTGCTAACCCCTGGCCTGTAGCTTTCGAAAGTTACACTTGTTAGGTTCATTTTCAAATTTTAGACAGGTTTTCTGTATCCTTCGATGGGCTAAAGATTGAAGCCTTTCGAATCTCAACATATGAGTCTTATACTCCTGTAATCGAAGGAAGCAAAAAAGGTAGAATTGAAGAGTGCATCTCACACTAACTTCCAGGCCAAAATCGAAAGAGGCAAGAAAGGGCATAATCAAAGGGTGCATGCTGCCTGGATCGAAGAACCTGTTTCCCTTCTTTTATTTTGTTTTGTTTTTACATTTTCTTGCTGTTCAATATGGTTGTAATAGCGTAGGACCTTATTTTTCGCATTTTTACCGCTTTATATAAAATGCTAGTAATTAGGGTGTGTATGGAAAGATAAAAACAATACTTAGACCATCTTAAATTCAAGACAAAAGTGCATGCAATCAAACACACCATTCACACACATGCACCTCTAGGGTAATCTCACTTGTTTCCTCAAAAAATAGTCATGCCCCTTGAATATGGGCGTTTTAGCAAAGACCCTCGATGAAAGATCGTAGACCCTCGATGTCCCTCGATGTTGCCTTCGGTAAATGATCTAGTCCCTAACGAAATTGCTAAAACGTCCCATAGGTTACCTTCTATGACTATATAAACAATCCACGCCCGTCCCTTCACATCCAACGATGGGGCTTCTTATCAAATCAATGGTAAGATAGAAACATCTAAAGGAGGAGGAAAAGAACAAAGACCTTTCGAGTAGGTAGGACGCTCGTAGTTGCTTGCTTGCTCACAAAATAAAAAAACTATTTTCACACCAACACTTTCAATTGAAACATTTTTAAAAGTTAAAATACTTTGTACACATTCTTATAGAGACGAGAATAATTACAAAGACACTTTTCAAAATCACTTTCAAAAACATCCACAACAAACACCTCTTTGAACTATTCTCAAAACCAACACTTTGTACGCATTCTTATAGAGACGAGAATCATTACAAAGACGCTTTTCAAAATATTTTCAAACCCACACTACAAAGCATATTTTCAAACAAAAGCAAGTGATCTAGCAAGCAACTAAGAGCCCGTAGATAACTATGGATGAAAAGAGTGCTAACACTTTCTCTTTTCATAACTTACCCCCCGAACTCAAGAAAACATCTCTAAAGGTCTTTCCTGTTCTTTTCACTCTTTCCTTATTGGATAAAAGAAAAGTTGGTGGCGACTCTTGCTATCCGCAACATATGCAATCAAACACAAAACATCCAAGTCAGTTCTCCCATCGTATTACACTGATCATAGTCTTAAATGTCCTATTCTTCGACAATGGAGATTTTAAGACCAAATTGTTCTTGGTGTCGAACAATTTCAAAACTCCATCTTTCATGACAATTAAAAAACCTTTTTCGACTAGTTATCCAACACTTAGTAATTTGCATTTCATTCCAGGTACATAGAGAACATCTTTGATCATAGCTTTCCCTCAATTACTCATTTGAAAGACCATGTTTCCAGTACCTTATGCTTGCAACAAACTATTATCAGTAAGTTTTACCTTGCTCTTCTTCGACTTGTCAAAATCTGCCAACCACTCCTTTCAACCAGTCATGTGGTTCGAGCAACCTGGGTCGAGAAACCAGATCTTGGATTCGACATGGTTATCTGCAACTGCAGCCATAACCACCATACCACCTTCAAAATCATCTGAATCTTGGCGTGCAAGGTTCGCTCCTTCGTCCTTGCCTGTCGATCCCTTGTCTTTTCTATACCAACAATTCTTGGCCAAGTGTCCCCATTTTTCACAGTTATAACACTGCATACCTTTCTTATCTTCTTTATCCTTTCGATAGTTTCCTCCTCCCCTTTTCGAAGATTCAGAAAATCTATCTTCGACCTTATTCTTATGGAGATTCGACCAAGAATTTTTCCCATGAGTCTTGTCAAACTTGCCGTTGAATTTGTTGGAACCACCATCCTTTTTCCATGACTGAGCTTGCAGTGCCTGTATCGAGTCCTGAACTCCTTTCCTTTCGACAATCCTCATCTCATGCGCCTCCAATGAACCAACCAAATCTTCCACTTTAGTAGTTTCTAGATTGTTAGATTCTTGAATAGCTACGATAACGTGATCAAAGTGAGAGGTCAACGTTCTCATTACCTTCTCAACTATCATTTATCAGTAATGGTTTCACCATAACCCTTCATGAGATGGACGAGTTTCTGAACCTTCGACGCATATTCTGCAACTTTTTCATCTTCTCCCATCGACAACAACTCATATTGTCGATGCAAGATTTGTAATTTGACAATATTGACTTTCTCACCTCCTTCGTAATACTTCACCAAAATATCCCATGCCTCCTTCGTTGTTTCAGCATGAGAGATTCTGTCGAAATTAGCAGCATCGACAGTCGTTTGAATGCAATAAGAAGCCTTGCAATCTTTCTTCTTAACTTCGTAGTAGGTTTTTTTTTCTGTTCGTCGATTGCATTTACAGCCAATGTAGGAACGCCGTCGGTAACCACTTCCAGGGTTTCATGGAAGGCAAACAAGGATTGCATATATTTTTTTCATCGGATCCAATTTTTACCATCGAGCATTAGAAGAGAATTCAGAATGCCCTTATCACTAGTCATCTTCACAGCGATTGATTCACTTTCCCTAGAAACACGATCTCTGACGTGAAATTCTTGAAAACTTGATCAAGAACAATAACCAGAAGCTCTAGATACCAATTTGTTAGTGCATGAGGCATTTTTAGTGAAGAGAGAAAGAAAGAATAATAAAGGAAATAAAGATTTGTATTACTGAATTGTACAAACACTATGACTATTTATATACAATCCTAATTGAGTTTAAACTAACGCAATTTAAATTATATTTAAATATTAAATCTAATCAAATCTAATTTAATCTAATATTTTAACAAAATCTAATTTAATATTTCAACCGTAAAAACGTTCAACAAATCAAATCATACAACATAAATTTTGTACATATATAAGAAAAGTGTCTGAACATAATATTAAAATGTCAAAGGTGATTTCCTTTGTTTTAACTACTTAGGAACATTGATTTCCATCCCTTTTCTTTTTCAAACATGATAGAATCCAATAAACCAAACCTGCAGAAAAGAAGCTAACAAACCAAGCATTATTATAAATTACAACAAACATTTCAGAAACTGATTTGAATGTTCCAACTTTATGGAAAAAGCCAGGAATCACAGGTAAGATTCCAACAACTAGAGCCACAATTGCTGCCACATTAAATCCCTTTGAGTAATAGTAAGCACCAAGAGGATTTCTTGAATACAAATCTTCAATGTTTAAATTAGTTTTCTTCACAAGATAATAATCCACTAGAATAATCCCTCCAATAGGACCCATCAATGCAGAATATCCAACTAACCAAGTATAAACAAAACTCTCACTTGACTTAAGAAGCTTCCAAGGTTGAAAAACAATTCCAAGAAAAGCTGTCACTATAGCTCCTCTTCTAAAAGTAAACAACATTGGATTAAGATTCACAAGAGCATTTGCAGGTGCAACAACATTAGCAGCAATATTGGTTGTGATTGTAGCTAGGCTTATACCAAGTATAGCAAATATTGTAGTTGCAAAGCCACCTATTTTACCAAGTAGTTGAATTGGGTTGGAAATAACATAACCAAATATAACTTTTGTTGATGATGTTACTACTATACCAACAAATGTGAATGCACCCATGAAAATTGGAAGACCAGCTTGACCAATAATTTGATCATTTTGGCTCTTAGCATATCTTGTAAAATCAGGAATGTTTAGAGCTAGAGCAGCCCAAAAACTTATATTAGCAGTAAGAGAAGGGAAAAACAAAGACCAAAATTCGGAATTCGAGAGTTTAGAGGATAATGAAAGCATATGACCAAAGCCATTAGCATTAACATAAGACCAAAGTAAGAGGAGGGAAGTGAGTAGAATGAGTATTGGTGCAGAGTACTTCTCAAGCTTTCTTATCCCTTCAATTCCTTTCCACACAATTAATAATTGAGCAACCATGAAGACTAGGAAGCAAAAAAATTCTAATGGGGAAGTGCCAAGCCAAGGTAGAGATTTTGATAATGTAGTTAGTTTTATTGAATTTGGCAAAAGAATGAAAATTGTCTCACCGCCAATCCATGTTTCAATTCCATACCAACCACAACCAACTAAGGCTCTTAGGAGGGTGGGAATATGAGCACCATGGATGCCAAAAGATGATCTAGCAAGAACAGGAAAAGATATGCCATAACGAGTACCTACATGAACAAACACTTGGTCAATCATTCTTCATGCTACAATAGGCAACAAACACAACAACAACCACAATTTAAAATTTGACCAAGACATAAGGAATATAATATTGACAAAGATCAAAAGTATAACAATGAGAGTAAGTGCTTCTAATGTCTAACATGGTAGATCCATTTCAAGTAGTACCTGGATGACCAGTGAGAACCAATGGAACAAAAAGAATCATGTTGGCTGCAACCACAGTTAATATCCCTTGCCACCAGGCCATGCCAAGGTCAACAAGGCTTCCAGCAAGGTAGTAAGAAGGGACTCCCACAACAAGTCCTATCCATAGACTAGCCATTTCCAACCCAGAAAATGTCCTTTGGCTTGGGGTAGTTGGCTTGAGATCATCATTGATAAGTGAAGGATCAGGCTCCATCTCGAATCTCGGCGAAGCAAAATGGACTTTAGAGTTGGAGGATCTCACAAAGACATTATTATTAGCATTGATGGTCTTGTTTAGTTTTGTTGAAGATGAATGAAGGGTGAGAGAGTGAGAGAATTTTTTATTTTTTGAATTACCAATTGAAGTGAGAAATAGTTTGGGATAAGAAGAGACATGATGGTTGAGAAATTTGGATGCCATGTTAATTGTAGATCTTAGAAGTTGTGATTATTGTTGAAATTGTAGAAACTATATTTCTATTAGTTATTATTATGAATGAAAGGGTGCAAGTATGATAGATTAACTTCCTCTGACTTTTTTGATTACTTCATATCATGTGCAACGTTGACAAGTATCTTTATTTTATTTGTTTGATTAAAGAATAAAATATCATATCATTATCGACATGATTGAATAAACAATTTAATTGAACATTTATTAGATAAAAATATATCGAACAGATTTACCGAAATTGCTACAAAAAATAAGAAATTAGCTACCAAATATTTGCTACAATTGTTGATTCAAGGTAACTTTTGGGTGATTAGGTGTGGTTCCACTTCAAAAAAATAATTATATATTTAAACTTAATAATATTGTTATTTTTAGAAAAATTCAATATGACATAAGGAAAAATGAATAAATGAATAAAACTCTTAAATAAATGAGTGATTCGCTCGGTTCTTTTATTTACCAAAAATGAAATTTTGAATGAAAAATTCAAAACAAAATCATTTTAGTCAAATGAAAATAAAATGATACATACAAAAAAATCATTTTGATTTCTTTATCTTTCTTTTTTTGGTTTTGATATGAAGCCACTTGCTCTATCTTAGGCTCATCGCACCATCGTTTTAAAACCTAAAGAATCCTTGTAACTTTTGCAAAATTATATTAGTTGTAAAGCCTTTATTCGTTAGTTGGCTTAAAGTTAACTTGTTAGTTACACTTAAAAAGATAGAAAATAGTTGATTTGCGACAAATATTTTTAGGTTTTGCGATAATGAGTGTTCTGCTTATCTCTCTGACAGGCGTCTCTCTATATAGTCTTTATGTTGCACCATTAAGAGCCTCATTTAAGAAGTGATTATTTGGCTTCTGGACTGCATAATTGTCGTCGTCACCATGAATGAGTGAGTTTAAGACTGCAAAATGTTGGGTTTAATACGCCGATAACTGTTACAATCATCAATGGGTCAAGTTTATAGCCAGTTACGAGTGGATGGACTCCGATTATGTGCGATATCCGAGTTGATAACGCATATGGGATGCTGCCCGGATAAAATGACTGTCGTCCTTGACCTTTAGTCGAGTTACACCCCAACTCGGGCACTCTTCGTCTTTACAGGCTATATACTCGCTTTGTTCCCTTTCTAGACGACTTTATAACCTGGTCAAAGCTAATATTTTTTGGGATGTACATAAGCCCCCCGAGTACAAATTCTTTTGTAAGAATAAAGTGTTCGGTCACAGAAAGTACGAGATGTATTAAGGTCTGGACCGAGTTATAACCCGACCTCGCCTTTGTGCATGTGTCATAGACTGAAAATCTCACATATCTTCTCTCTCTTATAGTACAATGATGACTTTTTATTGTGACTTGCTTATTTGGCGATGTTTCTTTGCCAAATGCAATATTCATTGGGCCCCTATTTAAACACTATTTCTATATTTCCTTTTTCATCTCAGTATTTAACAATGTTTCATTTCTAGAGAAGCTTACACATTACCCAAGTGTTCATCATTTTCAAGTATTTCCTTTTCTTTCTTTGCCTTATTTTGATTTTTCTTTGTCTTTACTTTTAGAGAATGGTGATAATAAGAGAATATGATGATGAGGGAAACATTGTGAAACCCGCGAATGCTGAGGAGAGAAAGGATTTGTGGAACCAATGCATGCGTGAGGTTAAGGGTACCCTAGGTCAGGAGGAGTTTGATCGATTCACAAGAGATTCTAGAGGAAGTTAATCTATCGAGGAGTTCTTTTATTTCTATGATGAGGTTCTAGAAAATTTCAAGATTCTTCTACCCTTTTCCAACTTTGAGGTGGACATACTGAAGACCATGGATGTCGCTCTTTCTCAACTTCGCTCAATAATTGGGGTTTCATAAAAGCTTTCGAGATAGTTTGTGAGGAGATGAATATCGTCCCCACTGTAGATATGTTCTTTTCCTTCTATGAGGTAAAAGGGGTTAAGAAGTGTTCCTAGATCTAGATTAACGGTCTTCCCCACAAGAGTTTCCTCCAAGTATACACCTCAAACTATAAGGGTTTCAAAGACCGATTCTTGAGGGTTAAGTGTGGGTCGAGATGCCCCCAAGTTTTGTATGCTTTAGACGGACATCCGCATTTTCCTCACTACTAGACTCAGGATCCTTCGCATATCTCTGGTTTTAACTATGAGAAGCTAAGCAGTTTGGAGATCCAAGCTCTGACCGTACTTGACTCTTTCTGAATGATAAAGGTTAAAGATTTATTTCCGTTAACTATCAAACAAATCACAAATTTTCTTAGTAATAGTTTTTTCTTTTGATTACTAGTCTAGCTGAATTTTTGATGATGCTTACATTATCTTTTTTGTGTCCCTGTTTGTAGATAAAATGACGGGTCTTTCTGTTGTCGAGCAGAAGAAATTGATGTTGGAGGTTAGAGCTTCCCGATAGGGGACTGGTGGACCATTTGCGGTCAAGTCTGATCTTGTCGGGTTAGAAACCCGGTCATTGAAGAGACGAAAGGTAACAGGTTCCAAGGATATTTTGAGTATGGTTGAGCCACAAACTTTTGCTCTGTTCGTTTAGAAGGAGGTTCAACAAGGTTCTCCGAAGAGGCTTAAGAACCTTAGTTTTTATTGTAAAACCTTGTAAAAAATAAGGGTTTAGGGTTTGATAGTCCTTAGGTTCTCCGTGTATTCTTTGTACGTCCTCATGTATCTTTTGATACATTTGAGTTGACTGATTATTACTTGTTTATCAAGTTATTATTATCCTCGATGCTTTTAAGCAAAAGTTGAGTATTGTTCTTAGTGAAGCTTTTAAGCAAACTAAGTATTTTTAGTTTGGAAGTGTGTTCTTCCTTTTTGATTTCTTGAGACATTCCATGGGATTGGGAGTGGTCTTTTATCACTGCAGTGATTGGAAGTGAGTGGGTTCTCATATTTAGGAGATGCCTAGGTAAAAGTTGCATTTGATAGGGAATAAGTGAAGGGTGTAAATTGGGATTGTTTAGCTCTAAATTAATGCTGATAATAGTGAATTTCCTTCCTGGCTTGGTAGCCCCCAAAGTAGGTGAATTTGCACCGAAGTAGGTTAACAATTTCCTTGTGTTCTTTACGTTTTTGTTCTTTATATTCCTGCATTTTCTTTCTGTTTTTAGCAAGTTTGTTTGCTGTCAACAGATGTTGTAACATCTGTTGTGACATTGTGTGTTGTTGAGACATCAGTCTTGACTTCTGATATTGTGTGTGCCAAAATTTCAAACATAACTCATTTGATGGGATTAGGCTTTCTTCATATTATCTTGTATCACTTTGATCACATTAGTGGTTTCTTGGATTTTCTTTTGTCCAAGAATCCCTTCCTCGCCAACTTCTGACCAACATAATGGTGACCGACACTTACTTCCGTACAAGGCTTCATACGTAGCCATTATGGCACTTGCATGATAACTATTATAGAAGGAAAAATCAATCAATGGTAGGTGGTCCTTCCAAATTCGTTCACTCTCCAAGATTTAAGCCCTCAACATATCTTCGACGGTTTGAAAGATTCTCCATGTTTGAACATCAAATTGTAGATGCTTTTTGGTACTCAAATTTAAAATTGTCCCTACCGCATATTGGAAATCTCTCCAAAACCTCGAAGTGAATTTTGGGTCTCTATCAGACACTATACTTGATGCAACACCATTCAATAATTTTTTTCTATGAATAACCTTGTGAGGTTGATGAATTTATATGTAGTCTTCATGCTCAAGAATGGGCTGACTTGGTTAACATGTCCACAATTACCTAGACCGAGTCATGTCTGCCAAAAGTACGAGGAAACCCAAAAATTAAATCCATAAAAATTCTATCCCATTTATACTCAGGAATTTCGAACAGTTTCTACATATCGTCTGGCCTCTAGTGCTCGATCTTCACCTGTTGACAAATCACACAATGGGCCACATACACTACAAATCCATTTTTCATATCAATCCACAAACAAATTTTCTTTAGATCTTGGTATATCTTTGAAGAACCATGGTGGATTGAGATTTCACTCTTATGAGTTTTGTTTGAGATCAATTCCTTTAACTCTGAATCATTTAGGATGCACATCCTTTGATTGAATAGAAGAACTTCGCGTATGGCTTGGGTGAAACTAAGAAGATTTTATCTATATTGTAATTCAACATCTAACAACTTCCTTTGATGGATCTTTTCGTTTAAATCACACTTGATAACCAACTTATGAAATATTTGTTATGTTATTTCAGCAACCACTTGTCACTTATTCAGAGACATCTTTCCTTGATAAGTCTTTTGTGAGTACATAAGTAAGGTTCAACTTCGCCAACATTATTCAATATATAAAATGTGCTTAAAGAACTATATCCCTAGGCACTGAAATAATATTTAAATCTCCATTACATCTACCTCTATATCTATCAGCATAACGAGACTTTGGAACTCCCATAGACATTGCTTCTGACAAATAATTTGAACATAACTCAATAGCTTCTTTTGTGATGTACCTTTCAGTGATTTAATCATATGGTCGAATATATTCTTTGTATATCCTTTAAAGATATTCATGTATTACTCTATTGGATACATCCACCTTAAATAAATTGGACCACAAAATTTGATTCCTCTGACTAGATGATTAATTAAGTGAACCCTAATGTCAAAAAACGATGAAGGAAAATACATATCCAATTAACACAAGATTATTGCATCCTCATCTTCTAATTCATATAAAATTTTGAAATCAAGAACTTTATTACATATAACATTTAAGAATAAGCATAATCTGGTTATAGTCACTCTTACATTTTTGGGTAAGATGCAACAGATAGCCACTGGTAAATTTATTGCATAAAGACATGACAAGCATGAGATTTTAAGCCAATAAACTTGAGATATTTCATTAATACAAGTTTTTTGTGTTTGATGAGTAAGAATGTGGAACTTTGATACCATGCAAACACTCACATAAAC